TCCGTGAGAATTCTTTTCTCATGCAATGTAATGGCATGCTACTTTTCATTCAGTGACAAATTGTACAGTCCGAAAGGCTGCAATAGCGTGCCATTTTTAAAATGCAAAAAAATGCATGGGAGTGGGATTGTAGGGTTGTGGTACCCAAATCCGGTCTCTATATTCCCTCTATGCTATTCTGCACCACTCGCTTCGACACCATGCTCTCGTGGTGAAAAACGCACTCACCGGTTGAGAATGACCAGAAGGCAGCAGACAAATAGCTGTTTCGGCCATGGTTTGGCGTGTGGCTAGCCGGGTATCACTAGCCTTTCCCCGTTCTTGTGCACTTCTGGGCTGAGAAAGTAGCACGCTACTGCAGCTGCGGACCTATTTCCCCCACACATGTAAGGGTCAGGATTCACGAAGGTGATTGTATAGCTTGTGTTTACCCGAACAGCGAACCATAGAAAGTAATAATAAGCGCTTCGTAAAAGAGTTTCCGGTGTAAGGACTACTGGAACCGAGTTCTTCATGCCAAGTTCCAAAAGTGTAGGCAGCTGGCCGTTTGCCGAGATGGAAAACCTGTAATGAAACCCGTTCCTGCTGATACTACGCAATGACCAACTCGTCCTCTCGTAAACTTTGCTCTAAAAAAATGCGGAATCAATACCTTTTTTGCACATGAATACAGGAAACAGTGTGAGAGGTTCTTGTCATATCTGAGCGTCGGTTCATATCCCTGCGATGGGGCGGAGAGGGTGGTGGCGCTACTTCTTGTGGTATATTTCCGTTTTCAGACAACTGTAATCAAGTCTTCGTTCAAAACCGGACGGAATTACAGTTATAAAGCCTAACGCTCCGCCAAAAAGCATGCGCATAGCGATGCCTACACCCGACGTCTGATTTAGTGCTGCATCATGAATGGAAGTAACCCGCGATATATCCTACGCATGTCCGAATGGTGTATGCAGTATCTAGGGTTGATGTTCCCAAAAAAGTACTGTAGAAATGAGGCCATAGAAAAGAGCACCCTAGAAAGATAAACTGCGCGCTGATAACCTTGCGGAAAATTCAAAGGACTCATTATGCGAAGCAGCGACTCCTGCAACGGCGACGACGACTATTTCTCGAGATTGAAGGGGGACGAGCCATAGGTTTCGTGTCTACGCTCGTATGTACGGTCTTGCGTGGGGCCTGACAGGAGGACTGGCTTCAGGCTGTTTTTCCTCATGTTTGTCGCTTATCCGCTTCAACATTCAGTGTAGAACACGCCGCAGCACCCTTAAAGGCAGTTGGCACGATGCTTTCCTACTTGGCCTAAAATGCTAGTAGGGCGCTGTATAGTGGGGAAATGGCGGAAGAACAGAATGAAACGTCAAAATCTTGCGAAGAAAAAGCCTCCGTTCTCAGTGATTTATTTGTAAATCGATTTCGGACACATTTTCGCGTACGCAATTCTTGCGCAATCACCCGCTACCCGAGATACGGCTGCAAAATGTGTATCCACTGGAATGCACATTGCAGCTATCTACTTCAGAGCTGGCCGGCTTCATACCAAACCCTTTGCTTCATAATTTGCTCAGCAAATGAATGAATACGAGCGTCAGAAACGGTCGTCCGTTTGTGGGCGGGCGGGCAAGGAAGGCGTTTGGGACGTAAAGTTGTTGCTCAATAGGGCGTTATAGGGGTACGCCTTCCTTTGAAAATGGCTTCACGCAGCGCCTGTCCGAGGTCACGAATTCTGTTAAGCCAGTTGTACAAATCCTTCACCTGTATAGCGATTTATTGCGTGCCAACTGCCTTTAAGCCTACGTCCCCCCCACTGCCCGTCGCCACCCTTCTGACACGCCCCAAGCGTCAGCAACGAATAAAAATGCACTTCTATGACAATAGTTCCATTTTTGCGTAAGGAGTTCTTTGCATGCCCCTTCCTACCTCAAGGTAATTAGCGCTAACAGTACTATGAACGAAATCTCACTACTACAGAAACACGCCGAGTGCGGTCGTTTGATGGATATAAGACCCGACCATATGAGTATCCATTCGTGGCTGCGATTAAGGTGTATAAATGTAAGTTCATCATAAGTTCGCCCACAAGAGTATGAGGATCTGCTCTTTATACATTTTGTTAAGCATACGATCAAGAAACGACAGGCTGTACGGCTGTACAGATTTCCAGACGTCATTTTTTGACGGCTGCTCATTGTGTAATTCAGAAAATTCGTAATTGGGAGAAGTACTGTCAGCGTGGCGATGAACGCGATCAGTGAGTTTTTTTACACCGTGGAGTTTGGTACTTGAAATACTCATGAAATTGGATATGAACAGAAGGCCCCTATGGCAGTATGCCGGTTAGGAGAATGTTGCGGCGACGAGGTGTTGCAAGTGCGGCCATGTGCGCGGCACCAGTGCCAGAACCTAGGTGATTTGAAGTGGAAATGCTACAGCATGTTGACTAAATAGATCAGAAGCTTCCAAATTTCCTCCCATAGTTGGACGCTCTTCGTCTGCCTACTAACACTTTTCCGATTTTTTGCCAAATTTCTTTGCTTTTTTTTCCAAATTTCCACAAATTTTTAAGTTTTCCCCATAATTTTGCCCCGTTGACGGTCGAGGGAGGGGGTTGGCTATAAGGTACATGTAAGTTGGCAAAAACAGCAAAATGTCGATGAGTCGGAAATTTCCTTGCGATTGGTTACTATTAGGTTGGCGGGAAAGTTCTGTCACATTTTTCAAATAGGCTTTCTTTTTATAGAGAGGAGTGTAAGATCAAAATTGTACAGCAATGTTACTGCGGGGTCCTTGCCAGTTTTTGAGCACCTCATGGATGCCATCGCTTCACAATGCGGCGCGACGCAAAGTTGGACATCATCTCAATCTTGACTTGAACTCGGGTTATGGAGGTTTTCTCGTCCACCTAACGACTGATTACTCGCAGTTAGATGGAGCAATGTCTGTGCTACACCAGTGCAAGGGGAGAGCCATCCAGCTCTATTGCATGAGGTACGGCTCGAACTTTTTTGGACGCGCGCTATCATGATGAGGGTGGGCTGTGCGGACAAATTTTCCTCTCTGATCAACAGCACGCTTTAAATCTCGTAGCTGCTTTTGCATGGCCAAGGAAGCAGCTTCTTCATCCAGCACTTTCACGACCAGCAGCTGCTCAAATCTGAAGCTGCACAGGGTAACCCCCAAACGTCACTTCGTCATCAAAACTGTAGGCTCCCGCTTTGAAGCATTAACGTCGTGGAAGGTGGTCCGATAATTGAGGGCATCGTCCTTAATCAGCTCCATTATTTTGACATCTGCAGCTATCATGGTGGCGTCAGGGTGGTGGAAGAAAGAGTTTGAGGAAGCGCTTGGAGGGGTTGATGCAGATAGTAGCGGATAAAATCCCTGTGCATATTGAGGAAAGAAGCAGGATCAAGCGCAGTGGCTAGCTAATAGAAAGACTCACGTCCTCAAGTGTATAGTGCTCACATTAACTCGGTTAACCCGCTCTGTAAGGTAATGGGCAAGTATTTTGAATTTCGAAAAAGTATGACAGAACTTTCCCGCGAACCAACCTAATACTTTCAAAACACGCATGCAAGTGCGACCCTCCCCTCCCTCACCCTGGGAACTCAACAGCTTGCGATGTGAATCATTACCCCTCATGATGATCCTGCCCTTTCAGACCTGATTCTTGTGGAATTGATCACTTCATTCCAAAGTACAGAAAATAAGACAAAAAAACTTTTGAGGAGGGGCGGACACGCGGCGATTGCACACCGTCACGTAACGTCAAAACGAATTAAGAAGCGCCATATCTGTTCGTTTTTTGATCATAAATGTAGTTGTCGTGTTTGTTTGACCCCAATTAGGTTTCCTTCAAAATAACCGGATCAAGGCACACCCTGCCGTTGGGAAAATTCTTTTCAAACACACCCTCCCCCTGCAAAATTTCCCTCTCTGGCACGATCTCCTTTCGCCATCCCTCCATATTGCCTACCAAATCGCTGAATTCTCCAACTTCCTACCGTTTGTTTGGTCCTTTTCCAGGGGAAAAGCAAACAAAACACGAATATAACACAGCCATTCTGCAAAAATTCAGTGGCTTCCTGGAAACAAGTTTATCTTGGTGGGATTTCTGCACTTCTAATACGAGCGCTTCCTCCATGGGTGTGCTCGATCCGCGAGCGGCTCGCAGCCCTCCTTGGCCACTTGTTGACGTGCCATGGTTAGGCTGTAGCTATGCGGTTTGCCTTACATAAAAACAGTAGATTGGAGCTAGAAACGATAAGGGTGAAGCTTTCCCAAGGTTTACCCTTATCGAAGGTCTTTGCTGCGTGCGATCGCAATCGTTTCCCATGGGAGGGCAGAGATGGGCAGATGCAGCTTGTCATCTCGCCAACAGTAAGAAACGACATGACTGAAAAGTTTCGAACACAGAAGACGTCGTATGGTGATGATCCTCTGCAATGATCGAGTCGCCTTCTGTAGCC